ATTTTTAGAATACTGGTAAATGAACATTTAGTTGACTTAGAACACTTGGAACGTTCAATATATCGTACCAAGGAAATTGCCCAAATGCTATGCACATGGAAAAGATTTCTTAAATAATGAAAGATACATACTGTGTTTGGAAAAGCCTTGCTTGAATCCCCTCCATGAGCACAGACAAGAGGAGGATTTTCTATCCAACCACACATTCTTGATCGCATCTACAAGCAACAGGCACAGAAAACTTTAGTGCAATCATATTTACAAGGGAATTCTTAGAACTAAATCGAGTTGATCATTAGTATTTGCATGTGAAGAATACTATCCAATTTCAGAATAATCAAACTTGAATAATCCTCTGACTCCAAAGGAATTAATTGTTTAAGAACAACCAGCTCATGCATTACCTTCTCTAAGTGACAAAATTCAAAAGGCCACATTCAAAATAAAGAGAAAACATTAAAATAACATTGAGAACAGAGGCAGCTTGCAGGTCTTAGATTAGAAAGTTGTTCAGTAAATTATTGAACTAAGAATATAACGATGCTTGAAATAGGCATAAAAGCAAGCAACAATCACTTGTGATTGGAGTTTCCCCATGAATTGACTCAGAAAAGTAACTTCCCACTGAAAAACAGTGACGCTTCAGTCAAAAACCAAATAAGCAATAAGAAAAGGTTAAATTTGGGTAATGTAAGCTAATTACGGAAGTGCCCAGCAGTAAAATAAACATGGAAAAACCGGTAATGCCATGATTGAAATTTGAACAAAATGACGATGGCAATAACTAATCAGGCACAGCACAATTTCTTCAAGAACACAGCACGACTAATCAAATCCATTGAGCTTCGCAATGCAAAAAATATCTATAATACAGAGCACAACCAACATTAGCAGTTAGATGATTAAAGTCAAATTGAGAGTAGTTCTTGAGAAAGCATGGAAGCGTTCAGGAAATCAGATTATGCCATAACTGAAGAAAGATGAAAGCAACTCTTCAATTAAAAGACAGAAACTCTTCAAAGCAATGCTGAATCAACCAGAGAACATTCTCTCTGAAAAATAGAATTCAGTTAAACCGCAGTTCACTCCATGATCGAAGCCCGAAATTATAGCAATTCCTCGATCTAGCGGAAGAAATTCTTCAGATAAACTCTCAACATAAAAAACACAACATTCTCTTTATAAACAGCCAGGGCCCCAGTCCCAATCATGATTGGAGCCCAAATGCTAGCAATTTCTCAACAGAGCAGAAAATAGATCAGCTTAAATTTGCGTCTTCACTATGATCAAATATAAAATAAGAAAATCCCCTGAAGAAAATGAAAACAGGTTCCAGCTAAAGTTACACCACGATCAAAACTCAAAACGGATCAAAATAAACACAAAATCCACTTCAAAAGCACCAAGGAATAGAACGCAGACACGGTGAGGTTCCAATCCATCATCAAACCTACAATGGATCAGAGATAGCAAAAAAAAAACACTGGAACAAGCACCAAAACAACAAAACACGCGCTCAATCAGTACATCCGCCATGATCAAAACTAAAACTACACCAAAAAAAAATAATCATGAATTCCATGAAAATACATCTGAAACAATCAAAACCAATCAAATCAGACATCACATGAAAAACCATGAATCAAGTACCTGAGAAGTGCGCCTTAATCTAAAGTGAAAGTAAATTGGAGCAAGAAACCCTAAAAACGAGAGGATCAAGAGAAGGCGAAGAAATCCTCGAAATGAGTACCCTCGATTCCTTCTTACTGGCGGGAAATGGCGAAGCCTACGCATTTTTTTTTTAAAAAATCTTGTTTCTCACAAAGAGAATGAATCATTGAAAATTTTCACACAAACTTATACAGAGCGAAATGGCGAACCAGAAATTCACACGTGTGGGATTTGTAAAGAGTAAGCTATGATGGACGGTTCAGATCCTGCTATTGATATCCGATGGTTTAGATTGCTAAACAAGCCAAAATCGAAATGACCCAGTTTTTGCGCGCCTAAAGATTATTCCCGCTGGTGAACCTTATGCATTTTCTCGGGCAAAATAGAGACAATTTTTCTCCAGGATTCAGAATCGCCATTGATTGTTTCAAAATGCAGATTATTATAACCATATTCGGCACAAAAGTCAAAAGGTCTCAATTAACATGAAAGAATTTGTCTTAGAAAAAATAGAATTTGTTTTAGAAAAAATATGAAAATATTGGTAAAAAGGTCTCAATTAATATGATAGGATTTTAATTTTAATTTTTCAAAAAATTTGTTTAAAAATGTTAAAATTGCCATGTTTAAGATTGGAGACTCTAAACAAGTAGAGATATTTTGATAATTTTAAATACCCATAACAAATAAGGATACTTACCATATTTTGATAATTTTAAATACCCATAAAAATAGGGATACTTACATCATTTCGTTGATATGCTTCTAATTACTCTAGCGGCTAGAGTATGGCCCCAACCTTAAATGAGCGAAATTTGGCTTTTTTATAAATATTTTTTGAAAAAGTAGTTGAGTGAAATAAAAAATAAAAAATAACCCCCCTAGGATTAAATGGGATAGGATATTCAATTTGTAAAAGGTTTTAACCTCTTAAATGACATGTTTCCTTTACGATTTTGAATATACTTCCAAGAATTATTCCAATATGAAACATTGGGCCCCCTTTAGAATCACTTGAGCATTTACAAAACAAAGAAAATGAACTTAGGTCCTTGAGCACTTAAAGCTGATAATATATAATTTGAGGATCTCTGTCCAATCTTAGGAGGTTAGTTTTTTAGGCATATAATTAATATAATTTTATTTTATATTATTTTCTAATTGTCGGATTTTTTTTTTTTTAGGTTGAGATGGTTAAATCCCAACATTTTGGCATCATAAACATACTCCTAGATGGATTTTGACCTGAGGAGTGAATGGATAGCATACTCCAGCCAGATGACTAATCTTATAGGCTTTTTTTTTTCTTTTCTTTTTTCTAGCAAAAACCTCAAGCAGAAATTTTCAAAAAGGAAAAGATTTGCAGTCCTTAAAATCCTTAAATATTGATTATGGATCCTGAATGTTTATTTCTAATGCAGATAGATCCAGAAATTTATGGCTTGTAAAATCTTTTTTAGTTTTTTAATAGTTCACAAAGTAAACAAAAGACGATATAAAAAATACATAAAATTATGGCGAAGTTATTACAATGGGAGATTTATCAAAATACCTATGATAGGTAAGTTATTTAAGATTTTACACATTTGCAAGTATTCCTACTCATGATCATATTTATTTTGATGGGCACTTTGAAATTAAATCAAACAATACGGGTAGAATGTTAAATGATGCAATTTCTATACGGCCCAAGCCTTATGAAAAAACACTTTGGGCATGGGATTCTATGATGGCTCCAAAATTAATTTCCGTTGCCGATTATGAAATTGTTGGGTTAATATGGCCTTTAAAGGCCTTATGAGTGCTTGTAAAATGAAATGATAGAGTGGAACATGAACTCAGTGAGAGTGTGGTCCCTCGTAGGCCATACTAAGTAAATAATGTTTGCAAATATAGGACTGTGCTTAACGATCTAGGCCAGTTGGTTGGGAAAAACCCATGTTACCTGAGCATAAATAACAAACCAAGAAGGGTTCTAATAGGTTAGCCCTTGATAACGTCAGAGAATATGCCCTGATGAGTAAGCCGAGGGACTGTGTGACCTTTGTGTGTGATAGTGTCCTACAAAGACGGGGGCCAAAGCCTCATCCATGTGCCATCACACGACATGCATATCGATAGATCGTTTGAGAAAACCAGAAATTCACCTTTTAGGGTGAAGCGTATGCTTGTGTGAGATATACCCTTATGCACCATAGGAGCTACGGTCGCATCAGGTATAGGTGACATTAACTCGTTTCTAGGGGAGGACCTGTAATCTACATACTGGGATTGCTCCCTTGGTTCATCGGCTAGACTTTGGTAACCCGCTAATGAGCCCCTGCTTGGACTGTGTGTCATGAAAAATACTGAATCGGTCTGATAAAGCAAGTGTGATC